CAGTGAAGCTGCCTCCAAGCCACAAGCAAAGCCAACATCCCACAAAAATGATCATAAAACAAATTCGAAAGTCTATGAAGAACGATCAGACACGATAATCAATCAGTTAGTGAGCACTAGTAATATCTTTATAGATGACATCGGGCTTCTTAGTTGCGTGTTATAACATCATTTTCGTAGCTTAATCTATTTTAGTTATTGTCTAGACATCGCTAATCAACATTGTAAGACTAGCTAGCTAATTGCTTCAATACAAAGAAACAACACTGTATTAACGATCTCTATGATAGAACTCGTATTGTAATTGATCGACTTAAAATATACTTGAGAAACTATATCATCATTATATAGATATATATAAGTATGTTACCTTATTCGTGTGACTGAGTCGACGTGATCTGATTTATTAATTTGATACAACGCCCGTGATTATAGCCTTTGCACATACAAATTACAAGAAACACAATGATCAGCTTATATATGAATTTGGTTTAAAGTTTAAAAACGATTTCATCAGTTTGATTACTTTATTATTACAAACTAAAATAGTAGACCAATTTACGGTCGACCCAATAAATAGGCTAACTTAACCCTAAAGCCTTAGGACACTAAAAAGTGAATTCCACTGCTCACCTTAACATATAATAAATATCAGCAAACCCCTGTGCTCTTTTCGTGAAGTTGATCGATTTAAATCTATCTGATTTCCCATCACTAGACCGTTGAGTTTTCCGTTGTTGCTTTTTTCCCATTTACGAGTTTCACGGCGACCGTTGCCTGAAACTTACACGTACCCGGAATATAAATGTTGCATATCACCATCTCGCTCATACTTAGACTAACTGACGCTTTTCATCTTTCTCTGCCCACAAATAAAAATGTGAAGCCACCTCAACGTTCAGATAGAAATTGCAATATCCATTTTCTTGTTTCACACCAAACGCGTCCTTATCCTGTTCAGATAAATCTCAAATTTCGCAGAGTTCAATACGATTTAAGGCCGTTTAAGTGTGCGGGAGCAAAATGTTGTCTTTTTCGAACCAGTTGCAGTTAAAGTCCTCTATCTCTGTTTTCGGTCCGCTGTGGCCCTGGTGTATCTAAAATCATCTGGAGCAAGTAAAGCGATTACTTCACCACGACTTTGCGAAAATGTGCTAACTTATTAATTCTGTCTTTTAGATCGCAGATTTACTTAGCGATACGCATATTTTTGAATCTTAGGGTTCATTTTTTTAGGAGATCTCATCTAAGAAAAGTGTAAGCAAATCTTACATCCTTCAGGGAATATACACATTTCTGTTATCTATACTTTATATTATAAAGAGGAAAGATTTGTTTGTTTGTTTGTTTGTATTGAATAGGCTTCGAAACTACTGAACCGATTTGAAAAATTCTTTCACGGTTTGGAAGTTACACTATTCCCGAGTTATAATCTTTTTTGAAAAAAATAAACTCCAATAGTGTAACCCAAGGTATAAAAAATTACCTAAAATATTATTTACATCGCATGCCCTGCGAAAACTATTGATGATAGAATAAAATAATGTACTGCGACTTTATAGAACACATTATTATTTACAAAAAGTGTCGCAACAGCATATGTCTAACTATTATAGTTATCCCGCAATAAGTGTTCTTTTATTTTTAAAAAATAAAACAATGTCAAATATCGTTAAAAATTTTCTTAAAGATCCAAGCGGATCCGGATCGGGTCGCTTGTCGTCTAATAAACATTTAGACATAATACTGAAATACTTACTTTATTTGTTTTACATTTGATATTAAAGTCTTAACCTATCATATAAGCCAACGTTGGTCACAGGCAGTAAAATATTGATTTCGATTACCACATAGCATCGTGGTATCAGATCCTTACGCTATGCCACCTAATATCAAATAAAATCCGCATTCAAATTGCTAAAACGTAACCAAAAAGTCAACTCAAAATAGTGCATATCACTGCGTGCGGGCATCCAAGAATGTCGGGACATCGTCCTGAGACCGGTTCCCGACTTCGCATCTCCAGTTTCGTATAAGCTGCTAAACAGTAAGTATATACAATGAGTACCATTATCCTGTTCAATTGATGCGATAAATGTGGCTCAGTTGTTCAGGAATGACAAGTGTTTTTGCCGCGTGATTATCTTTGACGTTTGCAAGTGCGTTAATGAATGGAAGGGCTATACCGCTAATGACGATTCATAATCTTTGTAAAGATTTTAGTATTTTAAAGTTTCTAGCTTATTTCGTTTCGTTAGACCAAATAGTATAAGTAGAAAAATGCGTTTAATATTACTGGCTATAAATATTTTACTATTGAATATATTTTTTAAATAGTCTTGTTAATAGACAAAATAACAATATAACAGATAAACAGCACCGCATCAAAAAAATATTAAAAAAAAATATATGTAAGTTTTAAATTGTGTGCTTTTTAAATTAAGACAATCATTACACTCGCAAACACGACAATACTCCTTTTATTCAAACATTAAACAAATATAAACTGAACAGAAACAACAAAACAAAACTTTTGAGCAAAAGAAAATTTAAGTTCAGCCTAACAAAGAATAACATTTGACACACCGCCCACTCTACACAGGTGAACGTGAAGTTAATGCAACCCCCGTAAATTAACTGGTATTGATCTTCGGAGTTGACTATTGTGGTTTGCGTGTGTGAATTATGTAGTCTAGTAAGGAACGCCTGCGGTACTGATAATTGATTTAACGGTGCCTACTAGATTCAGATGCGATGCAACTACATATTATGTTAATTACCTTTATCGATGTGTGCACTAGATCGTGCTTAGATTAATCCAGGCCGTATCTCGGTGTATTTATATGAATCTAATTATATATTGATCGGTGGTGGACCCTTTGAGCTCTTACAGAAAGTACTTGCGGTACGCAGCGGCTTGGCTCTGCCCCTGGCATTGCTGAAGTCCATGGGCGACGGTAACACCATCAGGTGGGCCGTATGCTCGTTTGCCTACAAGGGCAATCGAAAAAAATATATATATATATCACCGCCCTGTGTATTACTACTATTGAGACTAGGGTCTTATGAGTGGGTGGCATCTTTCACGTCATCTGATGATGTCTGTGGCCTTTAATAATCAATGAACAGATAGCCGTAAGCTCGTTCACTGACCCGTGCAATAAAATGCATATATTAAACTTAAATCGCACTAACGACAATTAAAAGATAAGCGCGGTTTCAAACGCTCCGAACTCCGAACAACGTTTTCAAAATGATGTTACCCGTTCGACTACATCTTGTCCTTTGTTTCTTATTTATTGCTTAGGAGGGTGTGGACGAGATCACGGCCCGCCTGGTGATAAGTGGTTACCGGAGCCCATAGACATCTACAACGTAAATGCCGCCACCTATCTTGAGATATAATTTCTAAGGTCTCAGTATAGTTATAACGGCTGCCCCACCCTTGAAACCGAAACCCATTATTGCTTCACGGCAGAAATAGACGGGGTGGTAGTACCTACCCGCGCGGACTCACAAGAGGTCCTACCACCAGTTAACCACCAGGTAGGTGCGACAAAGCTTAACATTCGATATAGTAATCACGCAAATGTGTTTAGCTCTCGTTTATACGGAAAGTAGATATAAGCTAACGGAGTGGTATCGGTCAGCAAAACAACCCGGCGGGAGGTTAAAACCTAACGCTTGTATGCGACGATACTTGCCCTATTTAACGAGCGATGGGACAAAATCTCACATAATATAATAAAAATTTCGAATTTCGTGTAAAAGTGAAATATTTATAGGAACCGTAAGTATATTGTAATTTATATTCTGCGTTTGTATAAAATTCGAATGTTGGCATTATGTTATTTGTTGTTATATCTATGAGGTCCGGTAACCATTTTAATCCAGGTGAAATGTTAGAGTTCACGCCAAAAAACAAACAAAGCGTTGGATCGAATTAAGCGCTTCTGTTTCTGGTGGTACCAACTCAAGTTCTTCTGGCAATAATGGCTGGTTTATGGTCTGGTTGGTTTAGTGATCTCTGTAACTCTGAATCCTGTAGAACGTTATTTCTTTATTTGGCAATCACGGTGTAGATGATTTTGTCTTGTCATATTTGTATGCATTTCCGACACCTATAACATAGTTGAAAATCCCTGCTTTGGGTCACTGCACAATAATAATTAATCTGACATGATTCTGTTACGCTCTTAATACAAGAACTTTCTATATTTTTAGACCTTAATAAAAAAACAGTATATGACCGCATTGATTATGCCTGAGCATATCTTCATTAGTGTAATCGAATTAGCCTGGACGCGGTATTGTGGGATGGTGGCTTCACGTGCTCTGAAACACCGATGTGAACATTAGTGTTAGCGTAAACAATGTATGATAACTTTAGAGCATATATAGAAACAACACAGACAACAAAGAACGTTACTGATGTTTTATATTGTAATTAACACTTACCTAAACATTTACATCGTGGTGTTATTTTAAAAGAAAAAGCATTTGAAAAAGATTTGAAGCCAGAAGTTTTTTTTTTTCTAGTGTTCACGCTTCAATTTGAAAACATGGTGTGAACTAAATTTCAGTATGTCGCCTTTATAATTAAGCAAAGAAGGCGTCAGAAGACGGAGGGTTGCGCTGAGAATGTTCTCAGACCTCATTTCCATGCAAATGAAGGTATACTTGTTATACTGAAGCCTGTAGATAGACGCAATAACTTCTATGTGATTAACGATCGTTTTAACATTGTAAAAGGATTTTGCACTATACACAACTAAGCAATTGTAACTTTGTTTACTAGTTCATGATGTAAGAGTTCACGCGTTATCCTATTTAGTCGAAACTTTTAGATGGTTATGGTATTCAAGGATGGGTTTTGACCATACTATTAGCTTTGATGTCATACGATTGATTTTAACAAATGTGCTATTCACTTTTCTTCCTGATAATCTAAAGGAATCGAGAATTGAACTGAACTGATTTTAAAACTTAACATTTAAGAAAGAAACCAGGTGATGCATTTTAATTTTAACAGTATCTTAACTGTTTGCGAAGTGGTGCTATAAATATTTGTAGATTATCAAAACAACGGTTGGATGAACAATTATTTACAGAAAGCTAAATCTAATTAGGAAATCTAAGCAAGTTAACAAACGTATTTCACTATACCAATATATTTTATAACTAATATCACTGAGCAATCATAACAAATAATTTATTCAATAATTGTCTTTACGTTCGTTTTCAATATCATCAATCAATTGTAAAATGCCCATTTTAAATTTTCTTTTTTCTTTCGATGTAAAATCTTTGATATCGGAAAGAATACTCTTGAAGAATTGTAAATCCTCGCTCTCCTCGTCAGTAGGCCTTTCTTCTTTTTCTTGCTTAACTTCCTCAGTATTATTAATTATTCCAATTGGCATGTAGTGTTGTGTTTTTTCGCCTATTTGTGAATCTTCTATTACTTCAGATTTTATATCTATCTCTTCGGCTTCTATGTTTGAATCATTCGACGTATCATTATCGTGAACGTCAATGAAATACGAACAGTCCGTTTCTGATTTATCTAACTGCGATCTAGAATATAACAAAACTTATATTTTAAACAGTATTTATGTCTTTTTAATGTATATTCATTGATTGCTAATTATAGCTTATAAAGGTCAAAATGTAAATAAATAAAAAATACCCTCTTCTTCTTATAAACGGATCCAAGAATTGTAGGTAGGCACTTAAATAATATTTTTTGCATGTGTCGCTTGTTTGAATTTTATTTTTGTATCGATTGTAAGAAGACCGGATTCCTTTCCATTTCAATTTTAGCTCCTCAACTGTAATAATAGAACCAAGAAGATGAAATTATTCTTGTGTTTAAAATCATATCAAGAAAAGATTCTTATATGCATTAGTAAGTTATTTTATTTGAGTACGGTATAAATTAAAAATATTAAAGTGGCCACTAGTTTCTTCAATTTAATTTTTATTGTATGTAGGAATAGAAACGGATTTTTATTATTGAAGACTAATTTGAGGAGGGTCATAATTGAAACTAGTTTTACGGTTTGATTTCGCGTTTAGTATTTTCATATATATATGTTTAATACTACATTTTTCGTGATCACGGGCTACTAAAGAATTATTCGTTGACATTCGAATACTGTACTAACTACCGTCTCTTTTTTGTAAAAACAAAGAATTCTACATTTTCTTTCTTTTTTTTCTCTTAATTCAGAAAGAACTACTATTATCTTAAGGTCTGGTAGATTATTTCACTTGCGGTATCATCTTCACGATGAGAGGATCAGAAGTGTTAAATAAACATCAACCGTCTTCTATATTAAGGTTAAGGTGTTTTTCATTTATGAAAGAAAGATTTGGTACTTCATCGGTCCATCTTTCTTATTATTATTATTTGGTACTTAAATATTAACTTGTTTATTACCAGTACATTCCTCGTTCAGTTCTGTTCTCACGTGTTCACGAATTTCTTGCCATGATTTTTCAACACTGTGAGTTCTGTATCCGTCCTTAGAGCGGTCGTATATATCTGGATACTTTTCAACCAGTTTCACAAACTTCTTCATTAATTTTTTATCGTCCTTCAGGTTCATAAACATGCTTCTAAAAATAAGTGGTTCCAATTAATAAGTAAATATTTTAAACGAAAGCTAAAAAATTTTTTCAAATGTTTGTTTGTTGTTATAAATCCATTTCAAAGTATAGAAACGTCCTTAGGTCAATGGGTTCGACGCTAATTGCTCTATTATCTAGTGATGCAACTGTACCTGGGTTCTAATCCTACGAGAATTAAACAACAGCGAACGACTTCCATTCCGGTAAAGTTAAAATCGTATAATAAGAATAAAACCCGTAAATGTATTAATTATATTGACAATGAGTGGTGGTAGAATATTTAATTAGCCACTGGTTGGTGTGTATTTTTGCATGTAATCGTTTTAAAAGTTTTGGACAGCCGTGACGAATTGATTTAGTGTTCGATCTCATGTGTCGGGTCAGGTGACGATATTCACGCTGCGATCTTTCATTGAATGCACTGTGCTTAGTGCGAGTTTTTTTACGTTCTCGATAGCGTAAAAGTTAACTCATATTTGTATGGAGTTTGAATGCTTGCCGCTAGGGGCGCTGTTCCAATTGCATACAAGCTTGAGTTAACTTTTACGCTATCGAGAACCTTTTTTTTTTTTCCTTCTTGTTCTAGTAACCTCGAGGAGTTATTCTAGATTCGACGAGCTAGTAGGTGAGCTCACGGGGCTCAAACCGAACGACGTTGCTTACACGAACCCTAGCAAGAGCCGTACTCCGCAGAATCTACCACCGGATCGGAAACGCGACCCACTGAGAAGATCCGGCGAGAAACTCTGTGGGTTAATTTACTCGCCGAGCCGCCGATGCTCGCCGACGGGTTCGACGAGAACGATGAAAGGGGGAACATTAAAAAAGGCGCACAAAGCACACTGAATAGAATAAGTTTTCCGTGAGCACATCAGTCCATCTAGACCAGCGGCTCTCAACCACTGTATCTCGACACATTTGAACCTAGCAAACTCCTGTCAAGTGTGATGCGAGATTCGCAAATACGACATTTTTAATCTAAGGTGATCCGGCGGAATTGTATGTCTGGGTTACACGAGGTTAACGTACAAGAGCTTACTAAATGTTAACTGTACAAATACGTCTAATACATTGGTGATGTAAGCTTCAATAAATTTATCTATACCTACCTTCACTTCAGCTATGAAAAACTTAAGTAGAAGTAAGTATGTACATATATAATAGGATGTATAATACTCATATATTATAATTTTAAGTAAATACGTAAATATGTCGTAAATTTGTAAAGAGTATCCTGTACCTTTTTCATTCAGTGACCTACCTACTACGGTGAGTAGAAGGTTGAGAGCCGCTGGATCTAAACAAATAAAAATACTATTATATAGTAATATATAGCTTCGAAGAATGTTTTTACTTATTTATGCATGCATTATACAATACATAAACAATTGTCTGTCTTATCATCTGCAGACGCGTCTTAAAAATAGTCATTACAATATTAATTCTAAAATATTATTCATAGAAAAAAAAGCACTTGATCTTTCCAGATAACACTTCAACAATTCAATACCATAAAAAAAATCGCTTGCCGCTTTTTTATTGCCCTTATTGACAAATAGCCATACGACTCACATGATTGTGAGTTGTTATCGTCGCCCGTGGACGTCAGCAATGCCAAGGGCACAGCTAAGCCGCAGCGAAACGCGAACGCACTTCGCTCGTGACATCGACAGCAATTGTACCACGCAACGCGCTCTTCAGCGTGGTGACGTCACATATTATTTGCTTCTTCGAATTTCATTCTCAATAATTAAGTCTCGCAAATTAAATATAAGATAAAAGTTTTAAACTCACACCAAAATACATCTGCAAGCGAGAGGTTAAACAGTCGACAAACAATATGAAGCTCCACGCTTCTACGCAACACAACACAACTGAATATGAATCCCGAACACCGAACGCTACATAGTTCTTTCGCCTTCACACAACGGCGTGTCTGTTAGAACGAGATAAATGCGTGAGTTAGAGCGAGTGCGGCAACAACGCGATGTTGCCAAGCCGTTCCCCACAACACAAACTGTGGCGCGGCGTGTCACGTGTATTACAACACTCCGCTCTGATTATTTTGAAATCTATTTCGATAAGTTAAGATTGTATTTCTAATGTAAATATCTAATACCACGGATTGCAAGCATTATTTTGACATGTCAACTATTACGCTTTTTAAGAATAAAGATTACATTACACTTAGTGATGTATGGCAGCTCGGATAAAGAAAATTAGAAATTTCTCGCGATTCAATTAGTCGCTCCAACAGACACGGACAGGGTAGAAGTCCGTTTCCCAAACCCAAGTCACACCGGCGCGCCGCGTTAATAACACGACATCTGCCGAAGCACGTGGCTCGAACACCTTTTGTCTACCGGCCTGCTCAAACAGTTTTTATTGTTATTAATAAAAGTATTTATAGACTGACATAGTCCTATATTTAATCCTACTTTGCTACGGGCTGACTTTATGCCCTTATATGGTGACCTAAATGATAATCGGTTAACAAAAAGGTAAAGTACACAGTAATGGACTGTAAATTACTTGATACTTCTAGTATATTATTATTATATATAGAACTTGGTTCTCATTTTACAGCCTCAACCGCTAATTGATATTGAGCGAATATACTGGTGCCTAGGCATTTAATAGATCAACTCCCATAAGCTTTAACTCAGATATAGCTTCATAATATGAATTCTCTATAATATCATCATTGTACCTAACAACAATTTAACGCATCATAATCACGTGATCTGTTTGTTATATAAGTATTCAAGTTCTTTTTTTTTTTCAAAATGTAAATGTGACCTCCAAATGTCCATCAATATCTTGCATATTATGCACATGTAAATGATTCAGTGTAAGATAGCACAGCTGTTCAAATAGATGACGGTTTCATCAAAATATTTAAAGTTCTATAAGACTATTTTACCATTTCTCGAGGTAGGTAACTATGAATTTTGGGTATAATTTTCTAAAATTTGAGATGCGTTTGTTGTGAGCGCGGGAACAAAAGTTTTTTCCCGTTTTTTACAAATATGTAACTAAACTCGAAACAAATTTCTCGGATGATTTCATGTTTATTTACAATCATTGTCCATTACAAGTAGTTCATATATATTATTCGAATTACACATTACTAAGTGTAATATGTCAGGCCAAAACGATAGCGTGTACAAAAAATAATATATTTTATAAGAAGTTTAGCGTTCAATATCTTGTAAATACGCAATAAAAAAACCAATTCTTCATCCGACAAACGACAACTTCATTATCTTAATATAATATATATAACTTACGTGTCACGTTGTTTGTCCGCGATGGACACTTAAACTCCTGAACCGATTTTAACTTTTTTATTTTTAAATATGTGTTTTATTCCAACTTAGGCCATAGGATGGTTTTTATTTCGATTAATGGTCGCAATATTTATTAATTAACAATTAAATGATTTCTTATGTTGATTATTGTTATTAATTGTAAGTTTCATAAGTCTAAGCCAGATGGCGCCTTAAATCAGTTTTTACAGACAATCGTAATACTGTCTGACATTAATATCTCATAGATGGCGCTGTGTTAAAAATACCAACGTTTCACATAAGCTACAATTAAATGGCATAAACACCACGTGTTGCTGAGGCTAAAGTATAAGTGAAACTTAATTCGTAGTAAAGGCAATACAGTGAAATCCAATTGTTCTTACTTTGTTAATTTTTGGTATTAACATAGCCGGCCGTGTGTTATTTAGAAACAAAAACTTTAGCCACAGCAACGTGTAGCCGTGTCTGCTAGTTTTAAATAAGTTTTACAAAAATATAAAACGTGTTCTACTATTCAGTGGGCTTAGTGGGAGTTTTTAACGTTTTAATTTTTTTTAATGCCATTGTAGGCAGACGAGCATACGGCTCACATGATGGTGAGTGGTTACCGCAGAGCCAAGCCACATAATTCGTATGGAGTTGGAGCGTTTGCCTACGTTTACCACTACGGACGCTGTTCCAACTGCATACAAATTTGAGTTAACTTTAACGCTATCGAGAACGTTAAAAAGCTCGCATTAAGCACACCGGACTTAATATTCTTTCTTGGCTTTGTGTGTTCGTGGTTTATGCGTTCATTCATCGTTTGCGGGTCGATGTCTTCGTTCGATTTCAAATCTGTGCGATTGACACTACAGGTAAAGTTTCAGGTACAAATAGTATTAATATAATACAGGGTTCGCTTGTATAGGTTAAACAAATCCGTATGTATACTCAATTATTTTCACTTCATACTATGCGATAATCGCTGCGTTTTTTATTATATTTTTTATTGCTTATATGGTTGGACGAGCTCACAGCCCACCTGGGTGCTAAGTGGTTACCGGAGCCGACAGACATCTACAATGCGCCACCCATCTTGAGATACAAGTTCTGAGGTCTCAGTGTAATTACAACGGCTGCCCCATCCTTCAAACAGAAATGCATTACTGCTTCACGGCAGAAATAAAACACGTCTTATCCTTAAAGCCACGACGACTTCACGCGTAGCGTAACTGTTTTCACAAGTTTCTAATCAATTATTCTATTGTGCTTAGTAGACTTATGATTTCCCATTTTCCTCTCCTCATCCTCTTGCTTATTCACTTTATCCTAACATACAAAATATTATATTTTTCTAATAATAAATAATAATAGCATTCAAAATAAGCACAACTTATTGTCGTAACCCAAAAAAAATAAACATTTGTTGGCAAATATCATAAAAGATTACAAATTATATTGCAGCATAAAACACTTACGAAGTTGAGCGAAACAAATCAAAATTAAAATTAGCTTCGATGCACAAAACAACATATTAAACGATGTAGGACAAACTGCATACATATGTCTGTTTTATAAGTTTAAACTATTGCAGTGAAACTAAAAAAGAATGTCAAACAAACGAGTGCATTCGTGCCGTCGTGTTAGCGATTGCTCGACAGGTGATCATGAGGCAGACAGGTGTTCTAAACAAAATTATAACCTTAAAACTGCAATATGCAACGCAATATACAACCCGACTTTTTTGCCCTTGTAGGCAGACGAGCATGGTGGATGGTCAGTGGTTACCGTCGCCCATGGACATCAGCAATGCCAGGGGCAGAGCCAAGCCGCTGCCTACCGCTTAATACTCTCCACAAGCCTCGTTTGAAGAAGGACATGTTTTTATTTATTTATTGCTTAGATGTGTGGTCGAGCTCACAGCCCACCTGTGTTAATTGGTTACTGGAGCCCATAGACATCTACAGCGTAAATGCACCAGACACCTTGAGATATAAGTTTCATCTTTCACGTCATCTGATGATGTCTGTGGGCTTTAATAATCAATGAACAGATAGCCGTAAGCTCGTTCACTGGCCCATGCAATAAAATGTATATATTAAACTTAAATCGCACTAACGACAATTAAAAGATAAGCGCGGTTATAAACGCTCCGAACAACGTTTTCAGAATGATGTTACCCGTTCGACTACATCTTGTCCTTTGTTTCTTATTTATTGCTTAGGTGGGTGTGGACGAGCTCACGGCCCGCCTGGTGTTAAGTGGTTACCGGAGCCCATAGACAACTGCAACGTAATAATAATAATAATAGCAATACTACGGTAGCGGTACTAAGGTATCAATAAAATACGTCATCGGTGTCTTCTAAGCGATCTTAAACGTATTTAATCCAATTTACGGATTAAAACTCTAATCGACATTATACTGGTTTCGAAAACAATGCAGACATATGTTCAACACCTTTCATAAACCGGTCGTATGAAGGACATCCGCTTTTTGGTCGAAATAAAAAAAAAAAAAACTTTGAGTTCGACATTCTCACAGGAACCACTGCGTATCCGGTGCGCGGGCGCGGAATAAAAACGATCATTTGTTAATGTCGGCCCACCGGGCCACCAGGTAACCGTAAGTAGAATACGCGAGAATATTAGTGCGAGTTTCTTAACGTTCTCGATAGCGTTAAAGTTAACCCAATTTTGTATGCAGTTGGAACAGCGCCCCTAGCGACAAACGTACGCAATTTTTTTTTTTTCCTAATTAAGCTGATAGCCTTAGGGGCTATTTCAGCGTAACCGTGGCTAGTAGGTGAGCTCACGGGGCTCAAACCTGATAACGTTGCTAACACGAACCCTAGCAAGAGCCGTGCTTCGCAGAATCTACCACCGGATCGGAAACGCGACCCACTGAGAAGATCCGGCGAGAAACTCAGTGGGCTGTGTCTGAGAGTTAATTTACTCGTCGAGCCCTTCGTCGCAAGCGACGGGTTCGACGAGAACGGTGACCGGTGCTTGAAGTACCTAGAAGCACCGTTAGTGGATCGGGAGGATCCGAGATGACGTGTTTTGGGCGACGTCGACTGCTTTCCATTCTGTCCGCAGGATGGGGAATGCAAACGTAGGCAAAAGATCCCATTCCATACAAATATGAGCTAACTTTTACGCTATCGAGAACGTTAAAAAACTCGCACTAAGCACACAGGTAGCCGTAAGTAGAATACGCGAGAATATATCAAAACGATATCGTTACGGAAATATCAGGACGTGCTTATTCCGATCGGCTTAGTGACCCAGAACCGCAATGTCAAAATTTGTAGGTCACTAAAATTGAAGTTTGAAGACGAATTATACTATTCTTATACAAGGAAACGGACAGTGTATTAATATTTACTATTAAACTTTATATTATATAAACTTAACACCTATTTAGGCTAACTTAAAAGCTCTTAATGGGTAGGATCAGTTTTTCTTAAATTACATTATCGTAGTTTATACAGGGTGCAAGGTATCCACCATGAAGTTGATTTTTTTTTTAATGGATTTTATGACCTGGTAACTGAGACCTTTAAGTCATGTCTTATTTTAATTTATATTCATAATTATGAAAAATGATATTATGGAGTGAAATGAAATGAAGATGGTTAATTTGTGACATTAATCAACTGGGATGAAATTACAAGAGATGATATGGAATGACATATAATCCCAGTAAAAAGGTGGTCATTTACTGAGAT